CTTTTAGACTTTTAGTCAAGTAATATTCTTAGAGGAGACTTGAACTTTTACCAAAGTAATTTTATGATAAGATACTTGTACTTTACTCAAGTAAGGCTTTCAGGTACTTGCAGCACTGACATAAGTACACTGATAGTCTAAACATCCTGCTGAGCTCCAACAGGAACTTCTGTTCAATTTTTGGGAAAAAACGAGGAAATCTCTCTGTTGTCTTTCATTTCATTTTGTTTGTGATTTGTATCTTTTTTATTGTATATAGAATTTACTTTGTTTTTAAAGAAATGAATAAAATCTTTGAAATAGAAACAAAAAATTGAACTGCTTCCTTTCCAGAGGGTCAAAGTTATCTGTAATTTCTGATTTCTAAGTATCTTTTTGTCTGATCTGTTGCATATAAATCAGTTGTTTCCTTCAGCAGGAGTTACAAAGTTCAACACAACTTGTGATAAAAACAAGAAGCAACTTGAATTAAAACCTCATCAGGAAACCTCGTGGATCTGTTAATCGTTAAACTCTGGCTCGTCTGCTCTGACCTCTACAGTCGCAATGACCCCAAATTAAAATAAAACTGTYCTCGTCACACAAACAGAAACAAGTCCAAACCAGGAAACAGCAGCTAAAACTAAAGTTTCAACAACAAAAACAACAGAATKATTSGATTAACTTCAGTCCAGTTTCTCATCTGACCCACATTCATCAGGTTTTACAGCTCAGTAAACTTTGTGATACTAAGATATTTTTCACTTTCACTTCAGGTGTTAATGTGTGTTAATGTGTGTTAATGTGTGCATTAATGTTTGTGTGCCTCTGAGCAGCAGTTCTGTTTGTTTCTGCAGAAAAACCCTGTTTCCACAAACAGCATCCTTGCAGCTTGTCTCTGATAAAACCCTGTAGTTCTGCAGGGTTTGAGATGTTTCTTTTTATTAAACATGTTGGATGTCACGCTGCTGTACTTTCTGGATGTAAATAATTAAACCTCAGTATCTGTGTGTGAGCCCGCGGTGCTCGTGTTCGCCTCTAATTCTGGGAATAAATGGAGCTTCATGCATGAAGACCTCAGATTATCTGAAGCGAAGTGAAACAGGAGATAATGTGTCTCAGATAGCAGACGCCTCTGATTGTTTCAGAGAGGAGAATAATAAGCAGATCCATCACGACTCTGCCTGCAGTTAATCGTTTTAATCTAAAACAAACGACGAGAGCAAAACAAAGAGTTTGATCAGACTTTTGATCCAACTCCCTGGCTCTAAAAAGGAGATTTTTGTTTGTAAAAAAAGAGGAAAACAGAACGTTGGAAGAAATAAAGAGATAAATTTCTTTGATTCTTGACAGTTTATTCTGTAAAACAAAAAAATGAACAAATAATGATAATTAAAGTAAAAATCAAAGCAATCATTTTGAATAGATGCTCATTAACGAGACTTTCACCCCACAAACATAAAMCAGAACCAAACCCTGAACACAAGGAGACGACCGGAGGAGAAATGATCAAAACACAAACCTGAACCTGAAACATCAGACCACAGATTTGTGTCTGAATCCAACAACAGAACAAAAACTGGATTTCCATAAAATATTATTTAAACTGTCAGACATGAGAGGAACAAAAACAGCTGACATGACGACACGTTTATCAGCCGAAAAACACATAAAGACCGTTAAAATAACTTCAAAATAAAAGAAAATTAAAAACTGAAAATCTAAAGAAAATCAGTTTCTGCTTTTTAATTTGGATTTAACAAAATATTGTTTCAAAAACAAACTAATAAAACAGGTTTAAACAAAAAGTATGACACCTGTCAACACTGAGACTTCTGCACCTGTCCACAGGTGTTCAGGTCTGGTCTCAGGTATTTGTCCCAGTCCTCGAGGACAAACTGCTCCAAGTGTCTCAGATGTTCTACAGGTTACAGGCCAGGGCTCAGTGGCCACTTTAGAACAGTCCAATGTTTGGTTCTGATCCATTCTTGTGTTTTGGTTTTTTATCCTCTTGGAGGACCCATCTGACACACAGACTAAGATGTCTGGCACTGAGCCACAAACACGGCTCACAGGGGCGGAGCTAGACTTTTTTTTACAAGGGGGCCACAAAGAAAAGCGTTCTGAAAGCTAACTGTAAATTATTTTAATTCAGCTGGTTTAAATATTGACCTGAAATTTTGTTACTATTTAATTCAGCTACTAAGATAGGTGAATGCTAGCCACAATATTTTATGCAGCCATTTTTAGACACACAAAGCTGAAGATTAGTGTAGAAGTAGCCAAACACAATCTATCAAATCCTAAATGTTAATCAAAAATTAAAGATGGCCGTCACAGCTAATTTCAAAAGGCTTTAATCAGTCATTTTAAGACTCTGAGATTAAATTTGTTGTGGAGTAGCTAAAAATATCACATGCTGGTTGCTGATGCTAATTCCAGATTAGGCTAACCGCTAATGCCAAATAGCTATAATTCAGACATTTTTACCTAAACCTGTAGCTGTAAAWATAAATTGTAGGGCTACAGTGGTATCAGAGAACAAATCTAAATGCAAATACAAAATCCAATATTCCCACCCACTTACCAGTCATTTGGTGGTGGCCAATCAAGTGCTAGGGGTGGCATTTGCTACACAGGCCACCCCGCTGGCTCCGCCCCAGAGGGCCTTGATAGTCTTGAGACTTCATGCAACCCTGTACAGATTCTAGACTTCCACATTATATATACTGTATATATATATATATATATATATATAAAGTGAAGCAGCAGGTTTCTTCAGGTCCGGTAAATGTCAAATATTAGTTTCTCTTAATAATGCTTTAAAGGCAAAGTTCTCCTTACTAAATCTCACTTTTTTCACTGAACAGGTGTAAAAACAAACCCTAAAGTTCTGTTGGTTGAATTAAAACAATTCAGCCTCGATCGTGGAATCATCATGGAATCACTGAGTGAAAAATCAAGATGCAATTTAAAAATAAATGTTGGGTTTTGTTCAAACGTCTGAGAGATTTTAAGATTTTAACTAGATTCAGTGTATCTGCCAAACCATAATCAGTCTGAACACCTGCAGGATTTGATTTCATTTAAATGTTTCTCAGAAGAACTCGGGGGTCTCGCAGGTTGTGTGTTTGTGGTTCCTGCTCTCCTCCTCRACTTCTCAGCAATTAAAAAGTGACGCTCTCAGCGATCCGGCTCCTCGTTTTTACACGTCTACTGCTCCCTTCAGGGGTGAAAAAAGCTTATTTGGAAGAAGAAGCGTGTGGTTGTCAGATTCTCAGCTGTGTGACGGCCAAATAAAACCACAACGTGAAGAAAAGATGTTTAAATATCTTTATATGTCAAATCCAGACAAAAGATATGAAACAGCACAGATCCTGGAGCGAAGCTGCAGAACAGAAGCTTTCAAATCATCAAATCATTTATAAAATCTGCTTAACTCATTGTGTTAATAACTGATTTATAACAGAATTAATTTAAACTGAAGCCTCTGAGCTGCTGATGCTGCCTCCATCCAGAGAAACTGATGAGAAAACAGTTATTTATAGGATTTTCTGCCTGTTTTTTAAAGTATTAATAACAGCTGCTTACTTTCTATTAAAGCTGAGGCAGTGATGTCATGAAACTGATTCGATCTGATAAACACACAAAATATATATATTCTATTTTTTTCTTTTAAATTATTGCCCTAAAGTTTCTTTTTTTACATTTTCCAACCTCTTTTAGAAAAATAGCAGGTAAATTCTCTGAAAAGCTGAAAAATTAGGTTGTATTTTTTTAAGTTATCACCCATAGACTTTTTTTTTAAGATAAGAACTCTATTAAATGCTTCAACAAAGAGCTGCTTAAACGAATTAAAGGATTCCAAACAACTGTTTTCCTCCCGAACAGCTCAGGAGAGAAACTTGGAACGAAGAGTCAAATTTTAAAAAATGTGCTTCGGAGCAGATTGTGTCTACATTCATGTGCAGCCAGAAGTACAGATTCAGTAGTGTGAGGAGTCTCTTAAAGGTGGGAACAGACCTGAAGACAGGATTTTAAAACCAATGTTTGACCAAATGTAGAAATATTCCAATCAGGATGATAATCTGTGGAACGAGTCGGCTGCAGCTGCACGGTTTGATGCTGCAGCTGCACAAGTGCTTCCAAACGTCTGATTGTGATCCTGAGAGCACCGCAGTCTGCTGCAGACACATTTCTCTGACTTTATTTTCCAGAAACAGACGAACCGCTCGGAAGGAAGTTTATTCTGTTTGGAAACATTTGGAAAAGTGTTTTTCTTTTAAGATTTCATCAGGTTTTCCTGGTCCTGATCTGAGCTTTAATGAAATGTCTCCAACTGGATTTCATTAGTTTGACTCTGAGAGGGACTGAGGTTCATAAAACAGCTGAGAGCTTTCTGTCCTTCAGCTGTGAGTCATCATTCTGTGCTTCCACTTCCACCAGTTTTTCAGTTTACGACTCAAACAGGAGTCCTGGTCTTTCAGTCGGACCCCTCAGCGGCAGCCGCAGTGGAAGTCGGCGTTGGGGTCCTTCAGGAGCTTCTTCCGGTCCACRTGCAGGCAGTCTATGTGGTACCAGGAGTCGCACACGTCACACTGGATCCACTGCACCGTGTCCTGCTGGGGCAGCCGGCAGCGGGGGGCCGCGCACGGCTCCATCCCCCCGACGGCCACAACCTCCTCCTCGTCCTCGTCCTCGGAGGACGAGGAGGAGGAGCCGGAGGACGAGGAGGCCGAGGAAGTGGAGGAGGAAGAGGACGAGGACGGAGGGGGCAGGGGAGGGAGGGGGTGCTTCCGGGGGCGACCTCGTCGTTTCCTTTCAGGAGGAAAAACAACAGAAAGAGAAAGAAACAATGTGAGATTTATTAAAAATAAACACAGGAAATAAAAACTAAGAGCTCACTTTTGTTCTTTAACTGGAAATAAGATCTAAACCTGTTTTTATTTGTTGTTTTTAAACACAACACTGTTTTTAAAACTGTTTTCATCCACACAGAAACATTGCAGTAACTATGTCGACCTGTAGGTGGCGCCTTGGTGCCACTTAAATACATATATTTACCTTAAAATTATACTTTAGCCTAATCAATCAACCATTTAGAAACAGTAAAATTAAACTAATAAAGTCTACAGATGTGTCTCTGTTAGGTAAAATAATTAAAACAACTTTTTACGTCTAATTTTATATAATAACATTATTTATTGTTGTATGTTTTTAGTAAAACATGAACGTTTTGACTCATTTTCTACAGCAGAACAAAACATTTCTAAACATCTTACGCTGTCTGTTGATGAAATCTGTTGAACTGGACCCGTCCTCTGTCGTCCGTCCGGACCCTCGCCGTGGGCGACGCCAGGCTGTAGTTCTCTCCTCCCACCACCAGGGGGGAGAAGACAGGCGAGCTGTTGGCCCTCCGCCTGCCCCTCAGCGCCGTGGGAGAAACGCAGGCAGGCTTCTGCTGGCGGAAGGCGGCGATGTTGCCGTGCAGCACGGTTTTGACCCGGTGCAGGGTCTCCGCCTCCTGCTTGTGAGGGGCCGCGCCAGCGAAGGAGGCCTGGAGCAGCTGCTGGCTCAGGCGGCTGTTGGTCATGGCGCCGTGGAAGCTGCCGATGGTGCGGATCCCCACGGGGAAGGGCTTGGCCTCTGGCGGCCGGCGCACGTCGGCGTGGAGCTTCGGCTGCAGGGGGGGAGGAGGAGGGGGGCTGAAGCCTTCGGACTCAGACCTGTAGAGTCTCCGCCTCTTTTTGGGCCGCGCCCTCTGCCCGTCCTCCACGTCTCCAACCAGAGCTGCAGAAAATACAGAAATCATTTGATTTCAAGTACCTGTGACGTCAAATCTTTGTGATAAATGTAAATGTTTTTGGAAAGAGAACATCAATAACGTTGCAAAACAAATTTCATGCCGTTGAGATGAACAGCTGTTGAGATATTTACATGTGAAGAAACAGGAAGTGATGTCAAAGGGGAATGACTGAATGTAAACAGAGCGATGCTACAATAGTTAAAGAATCTGATGTTTCTTTAGATTATTCTGAGTCACTTTCAGAGTTGAAGAAGAGTTTAAATAAGATTGTTTCTATAAACAAAAATTAGAGTTTCTTTTCTTAAAGAGTTCTCCTTTGATGCCACTTCCTGTTTCACTTTGCTGAGCCAAATTCAAGGGAAGATATGAGAGTTATGAGACAAAATGGGTATTATCATGCGCATTATGCTAATTTTCTTAAATATAAATATTTTCTTTGACTTTTTGTATTTGAAGGATAAGCATGTCACATGTCCTTTAAGTTTTTACTGTGATGTTTACAGCCCAACCTGCTGCAGCTAAAAGAGACTGACTGTAAACAAACAAACAAACAAAATCCTTTGAAGTGAGCAGATCTTCACCTGCTCGACCCCTGGGCTCGTCCGAGCTGTCGTCCTCCAGCAGCACAGTGTGCGCAGACTTCCTCCGGCTCCTGGAAGCGGCCTGCAGCGGCTGGGCGGACGGCGCCGAGGCAGCGGCGGCGGCGGAGGAGGACAGCAAGGAGGGGGCGGAGCTGGGCAGCAGTGAAGTGAAGCTCACGGGCGAGGTAGAGGAGGAGGTGCCGGGGTCGGACACGGCCCCCTCGTGGCTGTGGCTCCTCTTGAAGGTCCAGGCGCTGCCCTTCATCTTGCTCAGGCTGCCGATGGAGTTGAGGATGACCGTGGCCCGGTTGATGGACACCTTGGAGTGCTCCGGGTTGGTGGGCACCTTTCGGTCTGAGCTGGTCCTGATCCGGTTCTTTAAGTCGGAGGAGAAGGTCCCCGCCTGGAAAACAAACAAACAAAAAAAAAGCACATACGTGAGCCGTCACAACGAAATGAGGATTAAGTCCAAAAGTGGAGAAACAGGCAGATATAGTTTTGATTTAAACGTGTGCAAAAATTGCATTTTGTCAAAATATAATGAATTAATGCCGTATTAATGTATTATTTAAATTTAATGTCTGAAATGTAATCCTAGAAAAAAACTGATTTTGAGGGAAAACGCCTTAAGATTTTTAATTTTTTTTCCCTGTGAGCTAACAACGTTTTTGTTTCTTTCCAACTGGGAAATCTTAATATACAATATTTGAGGTTTCCTCTTTATATTAACATAAAAATTGCTCAATAAATTCACATAAAATTAGGATTCAGACCAAACAGTAATGTATTATCATAACCAACAAGACAAATTAAGTCAGATCTCTGGATAAGCTTGTGATATCAGGATGATCCAGAACAAAACGAAGCATTTAAAGCAGGAATCTGAAAATGTAGTTAAGTCATTTTGTCCAAATTTGACTTAATCCTCATTTTGATATGATGGGTCACATATTATTCAATCCAGGTATAGAAAGAACTTCTTTTATTTAGTCTTGTAGTCATCTACAACAGGTTAGATATTGACTGCTCATGTAAATCTTTTTCTTCTGTTTCAAATGACTTCTTACTTTTGGAATGGTGATGGCATCAAAGTCCAGCGGGCGAACTTTGACCTTCTGAAAGAGGAAGTAGGACTCTGGGCTCCCCGGAGCCGACTGCCCCCCGAAGGTCAGCGTGTCTCCGTCTGACAGCTCCCACAGGATGCCCGGCTGCAGGCGCACCTCGTTCACCCACGTTCCTGCAAAGAGCCGAGCAGAGCGGTGAGGAGATGCTTCTGCACGAAAACAAAAACTCTGTTCAAACTCTCAGTGCAGCAGGCGGAGGACAAGTTCCTCTGAAGCCAACAGTTTTACAGCTGAGAGAGAGAGAGAGAGAGACGCCACCCGAGGCCACAGAGTCTCTGCGTTTTAATATCCCCACGTCTGACAAAGCAGGAAATTATCAAGCAAGGAGAAGCCTGAAATAAAGCCATCAATCTGTTTACAGCTCGAAACGCACCCAAGAAAAAGGAGTTTGTGAAACGGAACCAGAACTGAGACGCTGCAAGGCTACAAGACAATCAAACGGCCACAATGGCAGCAGGAACACAGGAGGAATACAGAAACACCGAACCGGCGGCGGCGAATCTGGGAAACGGACTGTGAAATTAACAGAAAAATTAGACAATAAGGACGTGGTTCAGATTCAGAGCTCGTCTGTCACCGTCCTTCAAGCTAAAGGTCAAACTTTCACTTATCTCATCCGATATATAATACATAAGTTTTATAAATTATTTTATTTAGAGCCTCTAAAGGTTCAGAAACTTCAGTGAGGAGTGTAAAGTGATCCAGGGTTCCTACAGTTTAAGACAAGTTAAATTTAAGACTTTTTAAGGATCTGCAGGAACCCTGGTTTCCTGTGGGTGTGGTTTCCCTCCTTTTCTCCCACAGTGACCATAAAGGTGTGTGTGGCTCCGCCCCCTTGTAAAGGTGTGTGTGTCTCCGCCCCCTTTCTCACCATGACTGCTCCGGTCCTTAATGTAGACCTTCCAGAACTCCTCTTCTAGCTCCGCCTCCTCCTCCTCCTCTTCGCCCGCCTCCCTCTCGGCGTGCAGCTCGGCGTGGATGCGCGACACCGCCGCCGAGTCCAGCGTGACGTCGCACAGCTCCGCCGCCCGGCCCAGGCGGAACACCGAGCGGCTCTGGGTGGGCCGGAACGTGTAGAGGTCCCGCGCAGAGTCGCCCGCGGACGAGCCGAAGCGGAGCAGCTGGAAACACGGCTGCTCCCCGGACAGCATGGCTGAACCCCTGCGATTGTCCGGACCCCCCACCCTCGAGGACCCCCAGGCCGCCTTCGATCTACGACAGGCCCTGCCTCACAGCAGCAGCAGATCCATGCTCGGAGCTAACGGACAGAAACTGAGCAGGGAAAACATAAGTGTCCGCCTCTAAAAGGAAACGCTGTGAAAGTGAAGGTCGCAGGCAGGTGGAGCAACAGGTGTTTGCATTAGCACGGAGCGCTGCGGCGCATAAATGAATACGTAACGAGGATCAGGAGCGCCGTATAAGAGTGGAAATGAGCCGCTGCTCCTCTTTTATGAGCCCCGACTCAAACAGACTGAATCCCCCTGCAGAGGGGGGCCGATAAAGTTCAAACACAAAGAGCAGCTGTGCTGTGGACGGCAGGTGTGTTACAGAGCCGCTAACGCAGACAGGAGCTGTAAAACTTACAGCTGGGCGAAGCAGAACCTGCKGGCAGCTGCGACTYTTAGCCTGAGTTCTGTCATGTAAGAGTTTCAGGCTCGAAATAAAACGTTAAAGGAGGCTATCAGTCTGTGTTTACAGAAGATTAAAGGACTTTAGTCGAGGGTGCARCAGCTGTTTGACCTGCAAGAAAACAGAAAACAAAACAAATTTAGCTTCATGTTATTAAAAAGTACTTATTGCATCATCATAAAGACAAAAAACAAAACAAGCATATTTTTATCATATCAGTGGATAAAGTGAGAATTGAGTGTTTTGTTTACACTGAGTGCAGACCCACATGTCAGAAATGCTTCTCAATATATCTCTTAACTTTTGAAATGAACTTCTTTCATTTGCACCATCAATATAGCTCAGATTAATCTATTTTTATGCAATTTTTATAGTTTAAAGTCTAAATAAACAAATATTTTACTTTTATTTAACACTTCAGTGAACATATAGGCACATTTAAAGGTTTAAGATGAATTAAATAGTTATAAAATTATATCAAAAGCTTAAATAAATATAGAAATGTGCAGAAAATGAAAGCTCAGGTCGCATCGTGGGTCAGCTGCCAAACCATATTGGATCAGAACACAAAGCAGGTCACAGAACTTTGCTCCATCTGATGTAAAACCTTTTTCCACACAAACAGCAGCTGTATCTGAGTATTAAACGTTTTAAAGACACTTCAGGCTGGTTGGAGTTAAAATAAAACTAAGATCAGGTCGGTGAAGTTTGCAGCTAGTTCCTGTAGGAAAAAATGAAAGTCGGAACTTACAACAAATAACCAGCTGCAGTCCTACTTCCGGTGATTAATTCCTTTACAAAAACCKCCGTCCGTCCTCCAGAACCGGGACTGTAGGTCCAAACTCCGGCTGGACGGACTTTTCAGACGGTATTTTATCGCCGTTGATCGCCTGGTCTCCGAGCAGCCTTTCTTTCTTCCTCCCGGGAGGAAGTCCTTTGAAATTTGGCGCGCCGCTCGCGATGCTTCCGTGCGCTAGAATTCGCGTCACTTCCTGCTTTGCTCTGATTGGCTGAGAGTCGTGGCAGCTTTCGCGGGAGCTGGAGGAGCGGTCTGGGCCTGGATCCAGATCAGCTTTACTGAATGTTTGCGTCAAAGTCTGAAACAAACTAAGCAGATTATGTATAGATACACAAAATAATAACTAAAAGTAGGTAAAAGAGAAGTAGCTGAAGCAGATATTAATAAGGACACTGAGGACGGATAAAATCTGAATGTAAATAAAGTGAKTTTTTTAAAAAGTAGTTTATGCAATTTTTAACTTAAAAAAAAATAAAAGATTATACCTCCAGTTTATTTGTTATGTACTTATCTGAGATATGCTTAAGCAAGTTGCACTTAAACACTATACTTGGATTGTACTAAAATATACTAAAAGTATACTTAGTCTACTAATGTTAAAACTTTTGGCCAAGATAAACTTTAGTAATACACTGAAAGTACATTTTCACACAGACTGGTTTATTTGTAGTATTTCAAGATTAAACTGAATGTATACTCAGAAGATTACTTGCAGTATACTTTTGAGTACTTTCATACTTTCARTGTATTGTGGGCCAATTTAGAAGAAGTATACATGTTAGTAAACTGCTGGTATACTTATATCAGTGTACATGGTAAATAAAAGTACACTTAGGGAAATACACATTTATATACTTCAGTATACTTAATGGCATGTACCTAAAGTATACTTCTTTTTGGTAAGTTTAAAAATACGTTATAACAGTATACTTAAATTATAGCTTTTTATGAACAAAAAGTCCCAATTTAGCATGAACAAGTATTAAACATGTATACTTTCTAGTACACTACAAGTACATGTTGCCTAGTATACTTGATGTACTTAAACTTATACTAAAGTATACTTATTAAAATGAACTTCAAGTATAAGTGGTAGAATAGTTACAAAAACTAAAAGTCATTTTCTTTTGAATAAGTTAGATATTTTGTTATATGAGTAGCTAAAATACACAGTATCTGCAGAAGTAAACAAACAAAATAACTATACATAAATATATATACTGATTTACTGTATGATATGACACATAAACATGTTTTTTGTCCTCAGCAAGATAGTAAAAGCCAGACAGGATGAAACCAGGAGGCAGAAAAGTRTAGAAAAGTGCTTTTTATTTCATGGTTATTTGCATTCAGTCCTGCAGTCCCACAAACAGTCTAAGGTCGGCATGCTGCTCTAACGGTCATGAACACGGGACGCAGAGTCAGGATAATATCAGAGCTGGAGCAGGGTCTAAATGTGACGATGATACAAAAAGTCTTCATTCAAACATGGTGATTTAGTAATATCAGGATGACATCATTTGGTTTAAATACACAAATTATATCAAAATAATCTCACAAATACATTTTCTGTTTGTATAAAAACATTTTCAGGTGCTGGGAGCGTGACGGTGACTAGAAAACAGGCAAAAAGACTTTTCCGGTCCTTCAGCTCGGAGCAGGAGAGCTGCTTGAGGAAAATATAATCATCGGGATGAGWTTTCTGTCCTGAAGACAAGCAGCTCACAATTAGTTCCTCCAATTATCTCATAAATCAGAGAAGCTGCCGCTTTAAAGTGACTGAATTAAAAATAACTGAGGCAGAATCTGCGGCTGATGTTTAAAATGAAAGTTAATTTCCTGTTCTGATTAAGCAGCCTGACTCCAGGGTGGTCATGATTTTCTTTGGAGTTTCAGAGAATCAGGACAGATTATTTTTTATTATTATTAGTATTAAAGCTCTCCTGCTCCGAGAAGCTTTCAGAACACAGAGCTCAGATGTGGAAGGAAACAGAAAACATCAGAGCGAGAAGTGAAATCCTTTCATAAAAACCTCCATCATGAACGTATCTTTATTCTAAATCTGTCCTTTCACCTGGCAGAGCATCAAAGTGTCGTTTTATTCTGTAAAAACAGGAAGTTTCCATGTTTAGGAGCAGCTGAGGCAAACTTTGATGGAAGGAATTCACTCCAACATGTAAACAGGCTTTATTTCTGAAGGCAGAGCGTTTCACTGTGTGGTTTAAGGATCGATGCAGTGTCTCGTATTAAAAAATCTTGCATAAGCTTTGTAAGAAACATACAAGTATAATATTATTACTCACATGCAGATCACATATTTTCATATTTACATCTGTTAGCATGAACGGCTAACAGCAGGTTTGTGTTTGGATGGGAAACATCAGAGTGCTCTTGTTGGGATGTTTCAGTGCCTTTTTATTCATTTTGCATCAGATTTTATTAAAATCAACAAACTGTCTGTTTCTCAACTAAAACAGTTTCATTAAATCAGCCAGAATTAATTATGGATGCATTTTTTTTGATTAAACAAACATAACAATGAACAATTCAGTCACATTAATCTGTTTTATATTCCAGAATAAGAAAAAATATATAATTATTTTGCAGATCAATGTTTATTTATAATAGCTGCTTCTTATTTTGAAACCATTTTTAATTTAAAAAATGAACCCAATGCATGTTTTGAAGAAAGTGCATGCTAGATTTTGTGGGTTTCAGGTTAAAGATGTTTGTAAACTGTCCTACAGTGTGAGCTGTGAGCTAGCCTTGATGCTAACAGATATTGATGGGATGTATAAATGGGACTGTTGGGAGTCTTTTACTGCTGTGAGGCAGGAGATGGAATCGATGCTTCCTGAACAGCTGCAGCTCTCAGACCATCAGTGAGGACAGTGATGTGATGTTTCCTCAGCACTGTGAAACCCCTCTCTCTCAGGTGAGCTGAATTACCCTCATTCACAGCTGAGAAGAGGAACTAATGAGCCAAGAGCAGTTGCTAAGTCGAGAACTTCATCTAATTAAATCTGTGACTTTTTGACGTTTTTTTCCCTCACTGTTTCAACTCATATATAATTAATTACTGTTAAATTGTCACAGAATCACCAACATTTTCTTTGACAAAAACAGGATGATCCCAGCTACAAACAGACACACCTGCATCGTTAATTACAGCTAATTTAATGGATTCACCTGACATTTACGCAGAAACTATAAGGGCAGGCTCATCAGACAGAATAATTTGCATTTGCGTCACTAATGGTCACAAAAGAGGCGCACCTGTGGGAAGAACGTAGTGGTTGTTGACATCTTTGTGTTTCCTGCAACTGCAAACATCTTCAGCACACCAGCAGAACAACAACTGTTTGTTTACACGCTTCACTGTTGTTACAGTCGCCAAACAATCAAAAACTAGTTTCCTACTGTTCTAGTCATAGACCGTTTCYAACAGACGCCAATATTTGTTTAATGTTTGCTTAATGTGAGCTCTGTAAGMTGAACGTTTGCTTTGATATTTAAAGTTTGACTTTTGCAGCCCATTTAATTTTCTGTTCCCTGAATCGTCTTGTATCTCTCCTGGCTGTTCACAGGGGCGGAGCCAGGGGGTGGCCAGGGGTGGCCATGGCCACCACAGACAAATCTTTGGCCACTCCATTGGCCACCCTGCTGTACTCAGTGAAACAACATTTAGGGGTGTAATAATCCTCCTGAACAGTTGGTGGCAGTGTTTAACAGTTTGAAACATCACCAAGCTCTATCACTGAAGAAGAGTAATGACAAGTAAGTGATGGTTTTCTTTATATACAGAACCTAAGCCTGTAATCTGACTTATGGTGTCAACATTTGGACTTATGGTGACAAATGTTCTTGTTTTGTTTTGTTTTGTTTTGTCAACATAACAGTGTCATTTTATGTTATGAAGGCTGCATGATGCTCTGTGTTTATTATGAGTACACCTATCACTAAATCAGAAATACTGAAACACCCCTCTAAATTCCATCCATAAATTAGTCCATAAAGTCCATCCATAAATTCACTAAATTCATTGGGKAAAACTTATAATGTTAGTTTTAAACATGCAGTTGAGGGTCATCATTATTTGGCAAAATGACGTGTTACAATTAAAACTAATCCAATAAACAATATGAAAGTAAAAGGCACCCCTAAAGTCATTGGATATGATAAATTGTGACGCATTAATTAATCTTATCTCAGATACAGCAGGGAGTTTTAAACAGGATGATGGAATCTAGTTTAATGAAGAATCTGTCTCTGAAATAATTAAATCAAGTGTTAATTTATGTAGGTAAAAGTATGTTTAACAACCTGGTAAAATACATCAGAATGCAGGAAATGGCATCTATTTTGCCCAAAATTTTCTGGGGGAGGACCCCCGGCCCCCCCCAACAGTGTGTCCCCCCACTTTTAAAATGGCTCTGACGGCCATGTTTATAAGGTAGTCACTGCCTGTATGAGGACATGAGGACATAAACAAAACACAAAGATCTGCAGAAACCCTCAGGTGAAAAAAGCACGTAATGTTCCTGACCACCCCTGTGTGAGTAGTGGTCCCAGTGTGTGAGCAGTGGTCCCAGTCTGACCACCCCTGTGTGAGTAGTGGTCCCAGTCTGACCACCCCTGGGAAAAATGTCTGGCCCCGCCACTGGCTGTTCGGGATTTGGTTCGCCTTCAAAAAATCCACTTATGTTCTCAAGATCTGCTCCATCTGATTATCTGAATGTTCTAATGAATGAATGAATGAATGAATGAATGAATGAATGAATGAATGAATGAATGAATGAATGAATGAATGAATGAATGAATGAACGAACAGTCGTTTTAACAGGTTTGAAATGTGCCAGATTTGACGCCTCACGTATGAAACAACGGGGGAAACGAGCAGCTCGGTCGGTCTGATCTGGCTCCGGCCTGCAGGTTTTTAGAGAAGCAGCACCTCGAGCAGCTCTTTCCAGCGAGCGAGCGCTGAAACAAGCCGAGCCGTGGGACGTTCGCTGACACGATCGTGCTGTTAATAATGGAGACGTGGGGGCGGACTGAAACGCTATCACTGCAGAGTCTGAGTGCCGTCAGCGGGAAAAACACTGAGATCCGCCCTGAAGCACAAATGTTTTTGTTTGTGAAGCTTTCTGGCTGTCAAACCTTTGTCATTTTCTCTTTTTTTTTAATTTGAGTATTTGTATTGGATCTTGTTATTTTTACTTGTTTTAATTTACATGCAGACTATTCTAACGTCTGTATTTTCCTCTAAATCTCATCAGTTTTTAATAAAATGCATGCACTGATACGCACAAGATTCTTTTTCTCTTTTGATACACAGTGAGGATGTTTTGTTTTTTTCTGTGCAAAGTGACTTTAACACTATATTGTGCTGTTTTTTTTAGGCCCTTTCTTCTCRGCCACCAACCTCCGTTTAGTCTGGGATGTTTTCAGATGCAGGGATTTAAGGACTTCTCTGTGTTTCAGTGTGAAAACCACTCCTGCCACATTTGAAGGAGGTGCCAAAAACACCCCCCTGGTGTTTCCTGTCAGCTGCTCGGAGCTGATTAATCCTACAGACCACCCTCTCCGCCCTCTGACCCTCCATCTGTCTTGGCTGAGTCGGACTCGGCGGCGCCGCCTCCAGGGGCGCCGTGCGGGCCGCCATCAGGTGTGGCAGCTGCGGCCGAGCGGGGATGGGAGCCGGGGCTGGCGCTCATGGCCGAGTCGGGGGTCCGGATGGCGCTGAGGTCGCCGTCGGGGGCCGCCGTGGCTTCCAGGCTGTTGGAGAGCGCTCCTTCCGTCACGGCCGGAGGAGAGGCGGCGTTCAGGAGGGGCTTGTGGGAGGCGTAGGTCAGCACGGCCTCGGTGTCGCTGTCCTGAGGGAAGCCGGAGTGGCTGAACTCGACYCCGGAGTCGTTCATATCCAGGAAGTTGTCGGAGGGGAGGGTCTGGTAGCGGCCTGGTTTGGACACCTCCAGGCCCTACGGGGAAAGAGGAGATGAAAGTAAGAAGGTGTGTGGAGGAGAAAGGGAAGGAAAGGAAGCAAAAGAAGGTCATAAAACCACCAATATGAATAATTCATGTACACATCCCTACGATTATATTTATAGATGTTCTCTGCAGCCAACTCTTATTTTTCTTTTCATACAWCAGAAACATAAAGTACAAGAATGTAAATGTATAGTATTGTTTTTTTATCTTTATTGCTTTGGCTCTAACCAATCGCCCACAGAGCAGATGTGTAGAAAAAATGCACCATGTCAGTGAATTTCYATTTAAAGAGCAGAGCTTTGTTTAATAATTGAAACTAAAAATAAAAAGCACCTTTCAGTTTGACGTTAAAATRTCAGGACTCTAATCAGCCGACTGAAACGCTCCCTGCACCTCTGAACACTCCTGCTCTTCTTTCAGTTTGACAAAAGGTCTGATTTATAAAGTTTAATCCACCTCAGTGCTGGCAGCTTGATTAGTTTTTAATTACTCTCAGCTCTTTGGTGGCTTTAAACTGCAGCTGGTTTCTGCTGAGTCATCACTGGGATGATTAATGTCCGTCCTGTTTTAGACTGGATTTTAATTTATGTGTTTTTTACAAGAAGTTTCTCTGGAAGCTGACCAGAGATCAAAAGGTTTACAATGTAACTGCATCAGCAACCATCCATCATCCATCCATCATCCATCCATCCATCCATCCATCATCCATCCATCATCCATCCATCCATCCATCAT